CCCTCTCTCTCTATCTCTAACACAACGTTTCCCTATCTCTCTCGAGAACAGGTGGTTGGCGTTACGCGGTTAATTCAGACCCAGTTGTTTTCCTATCTGGCATACCTCTGGCCCGCTGTCGACACTGTTTGGACAAACTTTTCCCCAGGTTACGCGAGAGAACCACAGTCATCTCCCCTCCCCATTTTCTGGGAGCGAGTTCCCTCCCCGTTACAACAAAATGGGGATTCCTATTTTTATTCCCCTTTTCTTTTTCTCCCGTTGTTTTGTTTGTTCTTGTGTATTTGCTTGTTGGTTGTTTTCCTTTCTCTTTCTCTCTGTCTCTCTGTCTCTCTGTCTCTCTGTTCCCCTTCCCTTTTCTCCGCCCGTGTGCTATTTTTAGACCGCAGAAAAAAAACCCTAGCACAAACACGGTTATAATTAGCAACACAAGCGCCAAACAGGGGCGATTTCGTTTGTTTGTAATGAACGAAATTCCCCAACCTCACGGGAGTGAGTTTATTGCTTGCGTAATTTGTTTTTGATTTATTTACTACGACGTTTCCGGGTGTAAGGTAGTTGTAGCAATGAAGGAAACTGAAACACAATGCGATGTTTGCGATGTAATCCTCGTCTCCTTCTCTTATTGTCTTTATTTCTTCGTTCTCTCTCTCCCTCTCTCTCTCTCTCTCTCTCTCTCTCTCTCTCTCTCTCTCTCTCTCATTATCTCTCTCTCACTCCCCCTCCCATTTCATTTTCTTTCTTTCTTTCTTTCTTTCTTTCTTTCTTTCTTTCTTTCTTTCTTTCTGTCTGTCTGTCTGTCTGTCCGTCTGTCTGTATGTCTCTCTCTCTCTCTCTGTCTGTCTCTCTCTCTCTCCCCCCTCTCTCTCTCTCTCTATCAACAACAACAGCAGCAGCAACAACATCAACAACAGCAACAACAACAACATCAACGACTACGATTACAACAAAAACTCCATGAAACACAATAATATTTCAGTCAGCGAGAAATAATCGTTCTGTCCGCATTACTCAATATGCAAGATGTAAAAAAACCCAAAACCAACAACAAAAATGCATATAATATCGGAAGACTGGCTATCTTAACAGTGTTTGGTGTCTGGTTATAATCAGACTTCTCACAGACACCCCGAAAGAAAAATAGAATACCGCTTTAAAAACTCAAAATCGCTGCTCTCTAACCAGGATCACAAACGCCGGAAAAATTAATGGGACAAAAAAAAGACACACCTTGTAATAGAAAGTTAATGAAATCTGGGCCCGCTGGTTGCTATCGAGCCAGGCTGGCTCCAACTTTGGCAGTCGGCATCATTGTCTACCATAAATAAACATAGGCCTATAATAATAAATATTTTAATGGTGCAACTATGGCGGGGTCGTTTTGCGTACTGGACTAGCGTTCAGATTCAAATATCTGTTCCCTAATGCGGTTGCGAGCGCCGTAAAACACCTAAAAAATACTTAAATAACATTAATTTTTAAAAAATCTATTTTTATCGCCGTTTCTGTGGGATGACATCAAAGAAGAGTCCGTTGATAAAAATGGACTTCCTGGAGTTTCATTGCGGTAGCTATACATACATTGATTTATTTCTTTGATACTGTTATTTTGAAAACATTATTTATTGATTTTCAAAAGATCAGGCGGGTTCGAGTTGAGGAGGGTTCTAGTCTTCCAGGACGAGATTCTGCATCATAAACTACAGAATTTTGCTCTTAAAAATTAGGGTGCGAATTTTTCCAAATTCAGGAGAAGCTGATAGTAAGGACCAGGGCGAAAGTGTGTTTTTTGTTAACTATGTGTGTGTTTATTTTTGTGTTTGTGTATGTGTGTGCGTGTTTTAGTGCATGTGTGAGAAAAAATAGACAGATAGCAAGACAGACAGCTAGATAGATAGATAGACAGACAGACAGAGGACAGACAGACGGACAGACAGACAGACAGACAGACAGACAGACAGACAAACAGACAGACAGACAGACAGACAGACAGACAGACAGACAGACAGACAGACAGATATTATGTGTGTTTGGTTTGTGTCTGTGAAAGAGAGAATTTTCATTTCCTTTTTTATCCCTTTTCCCCCGTATGAAACACTGAAATACTGTAT